TTTTTGGATCTTAGCTTTGAAATGTTGAGTTCTTGGGAAAATGTGGCAAGTACTCTGCTCTAAGTGGTTTTACACTGCCCACCTCAACGCTTTTTTTGCTCACCAGTACAGCACAGCAAAACCCCACTCTTCTTCAACCTACAAAATCAGGAGAATGTTTTTTTCATAATCTTAATTCTTAAAAAAGCATCAGTCCTGAATTAAAAACAATTGCATCAGTCAAAATTAGAAGTCATAGAAGTCTCAGCTGAGAATAAGGTGTTCTAATATGAGGTTGAAAAAATCTGACAGTCTACCCTGAAGAAAGAATTATCAAATGAACACAGTCATGGATCTGAGTGAGGAAGGGTATTTAATAATGAGAAGAACACAGGTGCAGCTAAAATTGTTAGCAGTTTGCATACAAACACACCAGCTGTTGTTGCTGCCATGTAATTTTTGTAGACAGCTGCTAAAGCAGAAGAAATGACCACTGACTTACCAGAGTGACTGCATTTATGCACTTCTCAACCACCTCAGCTCTCTGTATTGTCTGCGCCCTCAGAAGTCAACCACTGTTGGGTTGGGTGCTTAGTGGGGCCTTTGTCAAAGTATCCTGCTGGCTGAGAGCAGCACACACCTTTTATTGAACCAGTGTAGGTGCTAAATTCCAAACTACATGTTTGGAACAATCTCACAAATCACAAAATGGACATGCAAAACTGGCTTGCACTCAAAATTTCCACATGGAATATGCTGACCCTAATGAGTAGCACTGCTAATGTCTGTGGAGGATGAGGATTGTTTATAGATCAGTTCTCCAAAGCTCACTGCAAATTCACATCTAAGTGGATGTCACTTACTCTTCTTTGTAGTGTAAATCTTTTACTCTATCTCAACCTCACAGTCAATATTTTAGTCAGTAAAAATACACCAGTATACATGAATATAGTAATTCCATTAGCTGTTGTCTAACGGCCATGTCTTTTCACTGTAATTTTCTTTCACAGAATATTATCTTTCTATGGGTTACCCAACCATTTGCTTTCTTCCCAGCCTGCTGTTCTACAAAGCTGGACCTAAGGCCACCACTTCATGCACTCTAAATGTAATGTCTTTTATATCCTGATCTGTTACAACAACATTCTGACTGCACAAAGACCCTTGGCAGAGCAAGGAGCAGACAACCGGCCTTGAAAATCATGAAATAATACAGGCACCAACCTTTATTAAAAGGAGTTTTATAGTCAATTGCTAATATTATCTTCTGGGTTTCACTTAGGAAGAAATATGATAGTAAATTCAATCTGGATATTGCACACAGTGATATTTCCCCAGGCAGTAACACCTGGACTTCCCAGTCACCATTACAGACACCAGACAGCACTTTAAAACATTAAAAAAAAAAAAAAAAGAAAAAAAAAAGAAGAAAAAAAAAAAAAGACTGTTACTTTGTAATCTGTCTCTAGGTCACTTCTTTAAATAATCCGAATCTGGAAAAGGAACATCAGAAATACCTTGCTCAGCTTAGTCTTGGCTGAACTTAACAAAACCAAAATGGGATGTAGAACATCGTGAGATACCTGAAAAAGGAAGTATAGCAGATGCCTGCTTTGATAGGAAAATAGCTGAACTCAAGTAATGCTGAATGGCATTAGTTTATCATACAAAAACATTTAATTTATGTCATTGTTCTCTGAGGACAGCTAAAGCCCTCGCATATTCAAGATGAGCATAGCGGACAAAGGCTCTTTCAAAGTGCAATATTTAATGAAACTTAAATTATGTCTCAAAAGAGCAATACAGTGCATATTAAATATGACACCCTGAGCCATTCTATTCAAATGCATGTGTTTTAAAGTAGTTGCCACAGAGTTCATACAGCGTCCGAAAAGGTTTTAGTCAGGTATTTGAACACAGTCATGCATACAGCTTCCATGTTAACATACACTTCATCACGTTTTGTTTACATGAGGCACAGGACAGAAGGGTAAGTAAAGGTCAGCAAATAAGACCAAACATTTAAGAAACACAAAAGTAATTCTGCCATATTAGCAAACATGCAGAATGCTACTGGATTGGTGGCCTCAAGCCACAAAAAATGGGCAAAAAGTGATCATCTTTTCCCCATCATCTCCTGATGAAGGAGATAGTTAAAAGCTATATTCAAAAACCTGAAAAAACAAATGGACTTGAATTACATGGTTTTGAAAATCGTTGGAATAGAACTGACATGATTTTGAAAAAGGTCAAGCTCAAAGAAGGATAAAGGAGAGCACGGTTCTGTATGCTGACTGTAATGTAGGAATTCTGCTAAGTAATGCACTCCCTCCCAAACCAGGGAAGTAGCATTCAGACAAAAAGAGGAAAGGCTCAAAGCAGCAAGATACCTAAATACACTGCTTCAGCAACTACAACAAAAGGACGAAAACTTGTCATAGTACAGAATGTGATAAACAGAATTAAAGACAATACTTGGCAGTAGGAAATGAAAGCTAGAACTTCAAGACTTGACTCCTTTCTGGCACAAAGCAGAATACAAGAACAAAACAGAGCACAATAAAATGCTGAGGAAAATGTAAGTGCTTCATACAATTGTACTAGCACTTCATCAGATCATAGAATCATTTAGGTTGAAAAGAGCTTCAGCATCAACATGACCTACCAAGACCCACAGCTAAACAATGTCCCTCGGTGCCACTTAAGATCACAAACTCATTTACATTGGAACAGATTTAAAAAGAAAACAAAAAACTTTCACTTCCCCAATCACTTCACATGCATAAATGCTGTAACTTACCAGACAGTTTGAAAGTTATTCTGCGTTTTCTGCCAGCCATGAACACAAGAGGTTTGGGCTAAATGTCAGCTTTAAAGACAGATGAGATCATTTCTGCAACGGTATTTGAAATACTAAATGTTAGAACTAGCTGTATTCAGATTACAAACAAATTACAAACAGTAAGATTTTAACAGGCATATCCTTTAGGAAGTGTATTTAATTTTCTAGCTTTGTAGTTTCCCATAGCCAAGGATCATGAAAGTGTAAACCTACCACCTGAAGACCATTATGGAACGAAGTGATAATTTAGCATAATTTTACTAGAGATAACTTCATTTAAATTCTCAAAAACAAGAAGATAAGACAATTGGTTACATGAAACTTTTGCAACCAGACTTGAGAAAAATCTTCTTTACTGTGAGGGTAACAGAGTGCTGGTACAGGCTGCCTGGAGAGGTGTAGATACTCACAGCCTGCCTGGAATGTTGCACCTGAATGTTGCACTTTCAGGTGCAACATGTTCTATGGAACCTGCTTCAGCAAGGGGTCAGACTGAATGATCTCCAGGCATCCCTTCACTTCATGGTTCTGTGACTGTGTGACCTAAGTGATAACTTACTGAAGTTCATACGGACGCAGCAATCTCAAAAAATGCTTAAAACCTCTTTGTTATCACTTCACGTGGATTTGCCTCTTACCAATATATATCTCTGAGAGTTTTACTGCCTTCATTTTATAGGTCTCTGCTTTCTGCTCAAGAAATGTGTCCACCTTAAGAACTTTATACAAAACTTGTGCATAACTTTGTGAAATGTTAATATTTTTACATTAGCTGGCCTATAGATATTTCCATTACTCGGAGGGACCCTGAAGTTTAATTTAAAAGTTTTGCACATTATAATGAAAAAATATGTATCACAATCCTTTCTTTTTTGAAGATGCCAACATATTCTAAAAGGATGCTTTCAGATTAACACTTTAAAAGTTACAGCTGCACTTTTTTTAGCAGTGTATCTTAACATAGTTCCATTGCACTGTTTTGATGGATTATTCATACTGCTTGGGTTATGCACACCACCGTGAAACATGCTGGTAAAGTGGACAATCCTACAGCTGTTGGGTGATCGTACCCACTTGTAATTTCTGAGCATTTAATTTACTCAGACATTCCTAAGAATGCTAAGAATTCTATTAATGTGGAATATATAAAACAAGCAATCAAGTAATCAAGCAGTACATCCAAACAACACCACCCAAGATTCATCAACAAGTCACAACTGCACCATGTGACACTTTTTATTATGCTTTGAGAGCACATTATTTGATGCTGCAAATCCAAAGAGATAGGTAGAATCACCAGTGTTGCAAATGTCCTCTGAGACCATCCAATCCTACTGTCCACCTATCACTAGTATGTTCTCACTAAACCATGTCCCTTAGTTGACACCACAGTGATTACTGAATACCTCCAGGGATGGTGACTCCATCACCTACCTGGGCAGCCCATTCCAGTGTGTGACCATTCTTTCAGAGAAGTTTTTTCCTAATACCCAACCTGAACCTCTCTTGGTGCAACTTGAGGCCATTCCCTCTATCACTATCACTATTTGTGATATCACTATCACTAGTCCTATCACTAGTTACATGGGGAAGAGACCAAACCGCACCTTGCTACAACCTCCTGTCAGGAAGACTTGTGCTCCAGACTCTTTACAGCTTCATTACCCTCCTCTGGCCATGCTTCAGGGCCTTGATGTCTTTCTTGAAGTGAAGGGCACAAAACTGAACACAGTACTTGAAGCATGGCCTCACAAGTGTTGACAATCACCTCCCTCATATTGGCTACACTATTTCTGATACAAGCCACAAGTGTCAGTGCACTTCGTAAGAGGTTTATGCTGACACTATATAGAAGAATAACAACTACCCTCTTCAAAAGCTATATTCAGAAGTATGTAGAAGAGTGGATTTCACACCTTTTTTTGTTAGACATTCAAATAGAGTACTATAAGAAACCAGTCCTAAAACTGAAAACACCAGAGAACTCTGGAATGGGAAAAAAAAAAAAAAAAAAGCCTGGGTTCTTAGCAAGTTATCATTATAAATAGTGTACTTTCTAAAGGAAGATGGGTCGGAAAAATGATCTGACTTTGAGGAACTGCATTACAGAGGCCTGAAGTGTGATTCTCCTAGAATTCCAAAATAACTGCCAGTCACAAATCACACTTGAGATAACCACTTGCTTGGTCACATTTTTATTTAACAACTGTGATTTTACGTGGAAGTGTGAAATACAAATCAGTATTTATGTGAAGGTGAACAAAGTCCATCCTTAGAGACACAGGTGCCATTTCTCATTCAGGCAGCGCAGAGCTCCAGGGACCAGTGGCTCTCACAGGAGTGCTGCTGACATAACAGATGACTAGGAATTGGCCAGAGCCATCTTCTGATGTGTGCTACAAGGCCTACACGATCCTGTCTACAGCACAGTTCTGAGGTGACGAGGGACCAACAGGGGTGATTCTCTCCACAACAACGGCGGCTTTGAGTCCTTCTTCGACTACAGCGTCGGTCTCTTCCAAGCGTCCCTTTCCCGGCTCCTCCAACGCAGCTCAGACACACGTTTAAACGAAGGGACCGCACCCCGCTCTGCTCTCGGGAGGCAGCTTCCCTCAGCGTGGCCCTCCCCTGGGGCTGCGCGGGGCGGGCGGAAGGACACCACCGCCCCCATCTCCGCTGAGCCTCACGCAGGACAGCACCGCCTCCTCCTCCACCTCGGAGCCGCCCAATGGGGCGGCGTCGCGCTCGACCGGTTCGAGAGCGGAGGGTGGCCGCGCGTCGTCTCTCCGCAGCTCTTGCACCTCCCCGCCGCCCAGCTCTGCGAGCTCCCGGCAGCGCTGCAGATGCTGCAGGACGCGGCGGTGCTTCTCCTGCAGCCGCTCCTGCTGTGCCCTCAGAGTCTCCGCTTCCCCGCCCTGGTCCGGCCGCTCGCCCTTTTCTGGCTCGTGGGGGCCGGGCCCCAGCAGGGCCTGGCGGAAGAGGCAGCGATTCTCCCGGCGCAAGCGGCGGTTCTCGAGGCGCAGCCGCACGTTCTCGAGGCGCAGCCGCGCGTTGTGCCACTCGCGCTCCTCTCGCTGCCGCAGCGCCTCGCAGTGGCTGGCCGCCAGGTCCGCGTAGCGCTCCGCCAGCTGCTGCGGGCAGCCCCGCGATTGGCCCCGCCAGCCCTTCTCGCCGCCCGCCTCCAAGAGCTCCTCTGGCCCGCCGGCGCCGCGGCCCCCCCTGCCGACCCCGGCGGCCAGCCCCGCCCGGCCTCTCCGCAAAGAGCCGTTGTAGCCCCAGCGCCCGTCCACCGCGCACACGCGCCTCATCCGTGCCGTTCCCGCCGCCGCCGTGGTGGCCGCCGCTGCGGGAGGAGGGAGGGAAGGAGGAAGGGAAGAGGGAAGCGCAGTGCGCGCCGGCGCCGCTGTATGTAAATAGGGGCGGGGTTTCCCTGCCGTCGGGGCGGTGCCGTGGTGGGAGCGCGGAGTTGCTGCGCCCTGAAGCGGGCTGCTGCGGGGCGCTGTGATATTCGCCGGTGCGCTGCTGCGCAGCTGTGCGAGGGTTGCGGTGTGCCGTGTGCCGTGCTCCACGCAGGATATCGGCGTCCATCCTTCCACCTGGCGAGATGGGGTGTCGATAGCTGGCACCAACCAGCAGTGCAGTTAGACGGAAACTTGTCGAGTGTGTGCTCTTCGTGTCTGTAGAGGCCTAGAATGATAGAATATCTGGAGTTAGGCCATGCTTCTATGATTTTGTGAGTTGGAAGGGGTGATAAGGATCACTAGTCCTGACTCTACACAGGACTACCCAAAATCCAAAACCTGTTTCTGAAAGTGTTGTCCAATTGCTGCTTGAACCCACTGCCTGTTCCGTGCCTGCTGCGCTCTGGTGTATATCGTTTTGCTGATAACCAGCCCGACCTTCCCCTGACACAGCTCCCTCAGGTTCTGTTGCCAGAGAGCGGAGCTCAGCGCTGCCCCTCTACTCTTAGGAGGGAGCTGTAGTGCGCCATGATGTCTCCTTCGGTCTCCTTTTCTATGGGCTGCAGCAAGCAGTAAAATGTCAGCTGAGAAGTGCTTGTTAAACCAAGGCAGAGTCCTATGATTTTTATTTGGTCTATTCTAGCGTTGTTAGGATTCACAGAAAAAAATGCAAGATACAGGAACACACAGGTTCTTACTGCTTGTAGGTGGTTTGACTTAAGTAGCTTACACATGGCTTCCAGTAAAGGAAAGGGCATGTGAGTTCCCTGTCCATGTCATCTGATCATGAAGAAATCCATCTCCTGAAATTCTTTCTCTTAACTGTCCTTTAATAGTTACACACGTACACACCTGTGCAGTTAAGTTGTCCTGTTGAGATTACCAAGGGTACTCAGTGCATACTACTGCAGAACTCTGCTTACTTTTTTTCACTTCAGTTTGTAAACTTTGTGAAAGCGACCATGCTTTACTAACTGCAGGAAGTGACTTGATCTAATGTTTAGTTAATGACCAGCTGAACATTTAAAGGATTGTGTATTTAAAGTTCAACAAACAATGCATCACAGTGATTGTGATAATTATGTTCAGAACCTTATTAGTTCTGAGTGATGTTTACTTAAAAAGTTTGGAAAACAAAATGCAAATAATTGAAGAACAGAAATAATCTTGATATTGATTTAGTTTTGCTGTGGCTGCTGATCAGAAAAAATTGATCCATAGCAGTTATGTCCTGTACTAAACCAACTACCAAATCAGATTGGCTGAAGGCAGTAGAGTAGTCCTTTGCAGTTTGTGACTAAGCTGGTTTTACATTAAAAGAAGCAGGTTAGCACTGTTTGTTAGTCAGTTTATACTGGTGCTCGCTTTTGAAATCCAAAAGCACACTCAGGGACAAGGTGCCCATAAAGATACACAGCATGGGTGTCCAAACTTTCAGTCTGCCTGGGCTGCACTGACTGGAGTTGTTTATTTTTTATTGTTTTTTAAGACATAAATCTACAAAAACATAAAAACTTGCAGGGTATTTCACCATGCTTTTGTGGAACTAATGTATTCATCTGGTTTGATGAAAGTGGTTGCAGTTTTTTGTGAGCTTTCACACTTTTGATGACATTTGGCTCTTCTGTTAGATCCTTACCAATAGTTGTTCACAAATGGGCGGACTGCCAAAAGCAATGACATGAAAAAGACGTGATTGTGAGCTGAGAGATGCTTTTCTCTGCTCAGATGGATCTTGTGGAAGTAGTCAAATTTTTGAGTTAATGATTACTACTCTCCAGATTCCACTTGAAAATTTGTAGTTAATACATGTATGCAAACATGATGGTGCATCAACAGGGAGCAGGTTGTAGTGTGAGCTGTGTCAGACTGCATGGGGCCTGCGGGCTGCGGGTTGGACAGGCCTATCTGCAGTGAGCTACAGGCCAAATCCAGAAAAGTACTAGAGACTCTTCAGTGTGTAGGAAGGTGGGCAGACACTAGAGTGCTAATACGCAATGCTTGTGGTCACTAAATTACTGTCGTCTTTAAGTTTACCTTCAATGTTGAGTTGAAGCTGAATGTTCCAAAAGTCTTTTAGTAGGTGTTACATTATGACTTTAAATTTATATTCACCTCTTTTAATTTTTCACATATTTTCATGTACTCCAGAAATTGACTGTGCCTATGACAGGAGGATTGAAACTAGATGATCTTTGAGGTCCTTTTCAGGCCAGGTCATTCTATGATTTTGTGAAACTACATGCAAGTATACTAACATACCAGCTGATAAGCTGTATTCCTATAAAAACTGTGCCCACATGGGAGAGATGGATTTATTGCATTTCAGATGTTAGACAATGTTTTAACACCAATTTGATATTCTGAGTTAAATGGCAGTGATAGCAAGTAGTGATTTGGGGAAGAAGGTAATTCAAGATAGACAAGCGTAAGTTGTTTGACAGGGTCACACTGGACAGCATAGTTCCCTTGAAGAGAGGGAAGTAGTCAGCAAAGCCTTGCATGATGTCATCTTTCAATGTGCAAGGCCCACTTGGGCAGCTTTAATGTGTTTATGTAGTCATCCCACTTTAGGAATCTAAATGTTTATTAAGAAAGTTTCTGCTGACAGATTCTGAGCTTTCTGAAGGGACATAAATGTTAACTATGTTTTTTTTCATGGCTCAGCATGAGGGAAAGTCTTACCTGGAAAAGGTAGCCAGTCTCATTAGGAAAGTTGAAGATCTTGCTTCTAGACTTCTGTGATGGCATGTCAGATGCTAGCATTAATTGCATCACTGATTACATTTCAATGGACAGCATAAGGTGATGTGAGCTTTTGGAAATGTTAGCAACCGAAGAGCAACAGAAGAAAAACAAATATAAAATCAGGGGAAAGAAAGCAGTACAGATAAGAGGATAATGTAAAGGAAGAAGGAAGAGAAAGATTGATTAACTTTGAACAGGAACATGTTTCCTGGCTGAAAAAGACTGAAAGAGATAATGTGATAGTTAATTAAAAAAAAAAATTTGGGAACCATGCAAGCCCACCTTTTTGGAGCATTCTGAGTAGGGGATGGATTGGTGTGAAGTACCCATGGGATATTTGCTGCTCAGCTGGCTTGCTAATCTTTGCTTAATAGATGTAGTCCTGTCATCTGAGTTGCTGCTTCCTTTTACTTTCCTTTACTTTTTATTAGTCTAACGCACTGAAAAGTTGTATAAAATACACATTAAATTGCTGTTACTGCAAATATTCTTTTCAGAACGATAAGTGGGCATAGTATGTTAACACCACATAGGTATATCTAGTTTCTGTCAGCAGATTTTCCTGACACTTGACAGCGTAAGTATTACTTTAATGAAATAATTACTAGAGAGGTAAGAATAAGTAACACTAATTGGGTTTATTTATTCTCTTGATGTGAACAGCAACATTAAAGCCTTCAAAGAGCAGAATCTCTGTTTGACAGGACCATTTCATCCTATCAGTGTGTTGCCATAAGTAGAACTGAGTTACAAATAAGATTCCAACTTTAGATTGCTCCGAAAGTAATGCCTCCCATTTATTTCAATGGAAACTACAACAGACACGAACAACACGGTAATACTATTTGATAGAGAAAATTCTCAGCTACAAAACATTATACAAAATATTATTTTTCAACACAGTCACCACCGTTAGCTCTGCATTTTCATCAGCAGTGAACAAGAGCCTGCGTCCCACACTTGTAAAAATCTGCACCATCAGAGCTGCCCCACTGCCACCAGTGCTGAAATGCACCACCTGCTTCCTCACAGTGCTCACTTCCATTGATTGGTCTCTGTAAACATTCAGCAAGCGACGATGAATGTCAGTGGGTACCATTTTTTCCACAAAGAATTTAGTTCCACACTTTAATTTCATCCGTATTTCCATCTCAGACACTGTTCTGTCTGTTTGCCCCTCTGCTGCCATGTGTCACACAGCAACAAAACGTAACGGGGTGTTGGTGGGGAGGTTCAACCTCTACTGCCACACCACCAACATCCGCCTCTGGTGTCGTGGGCCAACAGCATAAAATAGGAGGCATTACTTTTGGAGCAGCTATTGCTGTAGGAGAAGAGAAGCTTTTGAAGACGTAGTGGAAAAGATTAATGGAGGTATGTTGTGAGTTGCTCCTGTATTACTAGAGAGAAAAGAGAATGTGTTATTTGTTACAGGCTGAGTAAAATTATGAAAACCATGCGATGTGCTCACATTCAGCTTGGCTTTCTGAATAGTTAGGCTTATAATATAACATAAATGGACTGGTAAGATTCACAGAGACAGGCAGAGGATTGAAGGCATCTGTATGTGTGCTGCATGTGCATGTGAGATTCTGCTTATACAAGTAGATGAAAACAGAATTCCATATTCTGTGAGTGAGGAGTACCACTCTAAATGACAAAGCTTATTGATACCTAGTTAAGCTCTGGATTTTTGTTTGGAGTGAAACTCAACAGATTGGCCTTGGAAATTGTGAATTGAATAGAAATAATGAGTTGAAATTCAGACAGTTGACTCATAAGATTTTATAACCAAGAATTATGAGACAAAAATAGAAGGCCTAATTACAGATAATAGTTGAGGTCTCAAGAAAAGGGAAAGAGGAAAACAGGCCACGAGAAAAAAAAAAAGGTGATGAGAAAATTGAGTTTGCAATTAAACTCTAAGCAAGAAAACTGGACAGCTGAAATAATGAATGAGTTAACTAAGTTTATTGTATTAACTAATATTAATCATATGTAATTCATGCTATAGAAGACTCCATGAAATCACAGTGTAGAAAATGTATTTATAAGCGAGAGTTAGGGAAGAAAAGTAATTGTCAGCAATGTTTTCAGTG